CAAGGGCTTCTCTGCACATGAAGACAGATGTGGAGATGAATGATCAGTAAGAGGAGGTCATAGGATCCAAGACCAGGACTTCTCTGGTAGGAGGGAGGGTTTCTTCCTTCCCTATGTAGATAGATTCTTACTTTGTGCCAAATGCCATTTTAAGGACTCCTAGTGCTATCACAAATATGCCTTTTTCCTAAAGGAATTGTTTGAGTAGCCTTCAGACACAGATCTGCATCTTAATAGCAGCACACAAAATCTTCTCCACTGTACAGCCTGCCTCCCAGATGTGATCAGAAGAGACCCAGAGAGTAGGGCCAGAGCAAACATCAAAATGGGGGTGGAGAAGAATATATACTTAGTATGATTTTCCTCATTATCCATTTGAAGTGTTTTTTAATGACCTATATCTGATACAGTGTGAACATGTACAACCAAATTATCAATTGTAATTCATTGTTGTCACAATAAAAGTAACAGGAAAAGCTGAATAGGAGGTTTTTGTAATAATTCACTCAAGAAATATAAGAATTAGACTAGAATAACAGAAGAATCTATTCTATAATCTTTAAAATTAATTTGCATCCTTGTTTATTTTTTCACAATAAAGGATTTCTTCCCTCAGGTGCAGTCACCATTAGAAATTTGGGGACAACACAGGTTCAAAAAGGCCCTTTAGATGTTTCTTTGCAGTCTAATGGCTTTGTATGTCAAATGTGTTTTTGTTATTTAGTAGCTTTTAACATTTTTTAATCATTCATTTTTGATAACTTAATTCTATGTCTTGTGTCAGAGGTTTTACATTTAGATATTTGGGTTGTTTTTTTTTTTTTTTTAGATATTTGGGTTTTACATTTAGATATTTCCTGTCTGTTACTTGGACACGATTATTAATTCTTTCTTGAGACTTGGAGAGTACTCTACTATTCTGTGTTTTGGAAAGGATCTCTGCACCTTTTTCTTCTTTACCTTCAGGGATTCCTATTATCCTTCTGTTTCTTGTTTCTTCTAATGTAGTCCTATCACATTTCTTCACTTTTTCTGTACCTTATTTCTGTTTTTTTTTTTTTTTTTTTACCCACTTATTTTTACATTTTTGTCTTCTATTCTGAAATCATTTCCTCTGTACTTTTATCCTCTGGTATGAGTATTTCCTAAAATTGTTTTAGTCTTCTTCATTGTTTTTGGTTAATACATGTTGTTTTATATTAAACTGTATCATTCACTTAAATATTATATAGATTTGCCACATCAGTGAGCATTTATTTATATAGTTATGTAAGCAGATTATATGATTATATTGTACCTTCTTCAAGTAATCCCTACATCTCAGACATTCAAGTTTTGCTACTACTTTCTATAAGATGTAACAATCCACCTTATTTGATATAATTGATGAAATTCTACTTTTTAGATAATATAGCTCTGACTGGAAATTTCTGATCAAATATAGCTCATGTTTGTTTTCCAAAGAAAGACTTTGTAGATCTTTCCCCCAGCCACACTGTATAAGATGACCCTTTAAACTTTTGCTAACTTTAGGCATTGCCATATTGATAAACTGAAAATTGTATTGTGCTTTCTATCACAGTCATATATTGGCTATTTTGTAGTTTTTTTATAAGCTGCATACAAAACACATGCTGTTTATCCTTTTTACTTTTGTTCTTTTAAAGTCAACTTGAAGTTATTACATTTATAATGATTATTAAAAAAATTAAAAACACATGGATGGACACAGTAATGTGGAGATCACATTCTGCTGTGTTTACTGAGTTCCTTGACACTTTACATTTTTCCTCTCTAGGTGTTAATGTCTTAATAATGAAGCCACCAGACCAGAAGAAAATAAGAAAAGTTTAAATATGTTGCCTAAACAATTGGATGGTCAAGATTAATGGGAATGTGTAATTATGAATGTAGCTAGAACCCTTGAATATAATTGCACTCATAAGTCAAATAGATAATCCATAACAATTAGGTCTAGCATTTTAATTATATTTGTTAAATTATTCAGTGAATACTTTTGTGAGTTTAACAATAAATATTTGATAAACTATGTTAGTCCTTTATTTTACCATTTATGTCCAATTAACACATATGGAAAGGTAGAGAAAATTTATTTTTTTAATATTCAAAACACTTTTCCCCATAGACTTGAGTCTGTCTATCAAGCATTTTCTATGGCTAGAAGTCAACATAATACCTATTTTTGCACATAATACCACATATGCATTATCACACAGTTGTTCACAAAATAAGTTTTCTATGTCTCATATTTTGTCTTTACACTTTCAAGTTTTCCTGGCTGCCCATAGACCCCTATTGGGTTAGAAGGACCCTGCACAGAAGTCCCTCACTGTTTCCTCATTTTCTCTTAAATTTCCCTACTTCCAGCTTGGTACTAGACTTTTGAGCTCTGCCCTCCTTTCAACACTGATATTTATATGTAACCCTTATGTTATGTCTTTTTTTTTTGAATTATTGTTCTCTTTATCTTTTTACATCACTGTTCATTTTTGTACAATGTGTGCTTTCTCTTCTCAGGTGTAATCCTTGTAAAATCCCCACTGCCAATTCACCTGTGAACCATCTCCTTAGGGCTTTGTGCTCTTTCTGCCCTGATTTGATCTAATATTATGTCTTTTTTGAAGATAGAAACCAAACCAAATAACCCATCGCTTGCTACAAGCCATGTATTCAGAAAACATTTGACAAATTAAGGAATTATTTCAGACTGGTATTTTTATAATCAAACACACATTTACAGCTCTGTTCTTAATGCTATTACAAGTGATTTATCTTTCAAAATAGTATAGTTTATTTTCTTTCCTTTGTTACTTAAATTTGTTCTTTTTTTTTTTTTAAAGATTTATTTATTCGTACAGAACTG